GTTTACTCAAAAAAAAGAGACAAGGAGATCAAAGTGAGTAGAACATATGATGATGTGAATCAAGAAGTTGGAGTGATGTGAAAGGACCACAGGCCAGGGAAAGCAAGCAGCCTGTAAAAGATGGAAAAAGACAAGGAAACAGATCCTCCCCTAGAATTTCCAGAGAGGAACACAGTCCTGCTGACGTTTTGATTTTAGCCCAGTGAGACTTAAGTCAGACTTCTGACCTACAGAACTCTAAAATAATAAATTGGCATATTTTACATCACTAAGTGTATGGTCATTTGTTACAGCAACAATACAAAACTAATACAATCTTTCTTAATTTCTTTTTTTCTTTTTTTAAATTTTATTTTATTTTTTCAAATACATTTGTCTCTGCCTCCCCCCCACCACTTTCCCTTGCCCCCTCCCTCCTTCCCTCCCTCAGCTCTTCCCCTTTGGTTTTGTCCATGAGTCCTTGCTATATGTTCCTTGACTTTCCCCTTCCCTTCCCTTTCCCTGCCTGCCCCTCCCTCCTTCCCTCTTGTCTCTGTTGATTTATTTTCCTTTCAGTGTTGCTGGTCTTATTTTCCTTGCATCTTTGTATTGTTGGTTAGGTTCTGCTCTTAATTTCTTTTTTAAATATATTTTATTATGCTATTACAGTTGCTCCAATTTTTTCCCCTTACCCTCCTCTAACCAGTACCAACATTCTCTCCAGCAATCCACCCCCCTTAATTCATGTCCCTGGGTTGTGCACATAAGTTCTTTGGCTACTCGATTACCTACACTGTTCTTATCATCCCCTGTCTATTTTGTACCTACCAATTTTTGCTTATGTATGTATGTATGTATGTATGCATGTATTTTATTATTGTTCAATTACCACTGTCCCAATTTTTCCCCCAATGCTTTCCCCTGCCCCACCCACTACCTGCTCCCACAGTCCATTGCCACCCTGTTCTCCATGTCCATGAGTCCTTTATACATGTTCCTTGACCAGACCCTTCCTCTTCTTTGCCCCATTATTCCCCTCCACCCTACCCTCTGGTCACTGCTAGTTTTTCCCCTATTTCCATGTCTCTGGTTCTATTTTGCTCATTCTTTGTTTTGTTCATTAGGTTCCACTTATAGATGAGATCATATACTATTTGTCTTTTACTGCTTGTCTTTATTTTAAAAAATATTTTATTTACTTATTTTTAGAGAGAGAGGAAGGGAGGGAGAAAGAGAGGGAGAAAAATATTAATATATGGTTGCCTCTCCTGCTCCCCTGGTTGAGGACCTGGCTTGCAACCCAGGCATGTTCCCTGACTGGGAATCAAACCGGCGACCTTTTGGCTTGCAGGCTGGCACTCAATCCACTGAGCCACCAGACAGGGCTGTATTTTACTGATTGTCTTATTTCATTTAGCATAATGCTTTCCAGTTACATCCACACTGTCACAAAATATAGATGTTCCTCCTTTCTTTCTGCTGCATAGTATTCCTTTGCATAAATACCACAGTTTTTTAATCTACTCATTTACTGATGGACAATTAGGCTGTTTCTGGGGGCTTGGCTATTGTAAGCAATACCGCTATGAACTTTGGGGTGCATAGGTTATTTTGAATTGGTGCTTCAGGATTCTTAGGGTATAATCCGAACACTGGGATCACTGGATCAAAAGGCAGTTTCACTTTTATTTTTTGAGGAAATTCCAAACTGTTTTCCACAGTGGCTGCACCAGTCTGCATTCCCACCAGGAGTGCACTAGGGTTCCCTTTTCGCCACATCATCACAAGCATTTGTGTGTTTTTGTTTGTTTGTTTGTTTTATGATGACCACTCTGACAAGTGTGAAGAAGGTATCTCATTGTAGTTTTAATTTGCAACTCTCTAATGGCTAGTGATGTTGAGCATTCTTTCATATGTCTATGGACCCTCTATATGTCCTCCTTGGAGAAGTGTCTGTTCAGGTCTTTTGCCCATTTTTAAATTGGGTTGTTTGTAGTCCTGATATTGGGTCATATGAAGTCTTTATATATTTTAGCACTCAAATCATTGTCTGAGGTATCAGTGGCAAGTATGTTTCCCCATGTGGTTGGTTCCTATTCATTTGGCTGATGTTTTCTTTAGCCATGCAAAAGGTTTTTAATTTGATGTAGACCCATTTGTGTATTCTTTCCTTCATTTTCCTTGCCCTAGGAGATATATTGGTGACAATATTGTTGCATGGGATATCTGAAACTGTACTGCCTATGTTTTCCTCTAGGACTTTCATGGTGTCACAACTTATATTTAAGTCTTTTACCCATCTTGAGTTTATTTTTATGTATGGAGTAAATTGGTTGTCTAGTTTCACTTTTTTGCATATACTATTCCATATCTCCGAGTACCATTTGTTGAAGAGGCTCTTTTTACACCATTTTATACTCCTGCCCCCTTTGTCAAATATTAATTGACCATAGAGACATGGGTTTATTTCTGGTCTCTATTCTGTTCCATTGATCTACGTGCCTGTTCTTACGCCAGTACCAGACTACTTGGCTAACCTTTCAGCCAACCTATGTCTTTTGATTGGAGCTTTCAATCCATTTATATTTAAGGTTATTATCAATAGATACTTGGAATTCTGGCCAAAATGAAGGTGTAGGTAGAAAAGCTTCACTTTTTCACACAACCAAAAGAAAGATAACAACCAATTTAAAAACAAACCAACAACCAGAACTGCCAGAAAATCAAACTGCATGGAAGTCTGACAACCAAGGAATTAAAGAAACATTCATCCAGACTGTTAGGAGGGGCAGAGAGGGGCAGCCACAATAGAGAGGATGGATGGCAAGGCAGCAGACCATGCAGGCAAGGCAGGAGATGGCTGATCGGGGCGTCCCACATTCACGTGTGAATAAGCTGGGAGGAACAACCAGGGAGCTAGACAAACCAGGAAACCCAGGGATTCAGCCTGGGAAACTAAAAGACTCAAAACCTCTTACTATAAAAACCTGTGAGTGTTGTGGTGGTGGGAAATTCCTAGTGTCACAGGAGAGTCAGTAGAAGGTGCTGTAGGACAGGGTCCTAGAATGTACGCAGATCCACCCACCTGGGAATCAGCACCTGAGAGAGCACAATCCGTTTGTGGGAAGTGACTGAAAATAGGGTGAGAGCCTAGCAAGAGATATTGTTCCCTCTCTGGCCTTTTCCCTACATACAGCACCAAAACACAGCAACATGGGTTGCCCCAACCTGGCGAATACTTAAGGCTCCATGCCTTACAGTAAAACAGGTGAGCAGAGACAAAGAAATATGGCCCAAATGAAAGACCATATCAAAGCTCCAGAAAAAGAGCTAAGTGACACAGAGATAGACAATATATCAGATGCACAGTCCAAAACACTGGTAATCAGGGTGCTCACAGAAATGGTTGAGTGTGGTTGCAAAAGAGAGGGAAAAAATGAAGGCTATGTGAATTAAGTGAATTAAGGAAAAACATACAGGGAACCAAGAGTGAATGGATGGGAACTGGGACTTAAATCAACAATTTGGAGCCAAAGGAAGAAATAAACATTCAACCAGGACAGAATGAAGAAACAAAAATTCAAGAAAATGAGGAAAGGCTTCGGAACCTCTGGGACAATATTAAACGTTCCAATATCTGAATGATAGGAGTGCCAGAAGGAGAAGAGGAAGAACAAGAAATTGAAAATGTATTTGAAAAAATAATGAAGGAGAACTTTCCCAATCTGGTCAAGGAAATAGACTTCCAGGAAGTCCAGGAAGGTCAGAAACTCCCAAAGAAGTTGGACCCAAGGAGAAACACACCAAGACACATCATAACTATACTACCCAAGATTAAAGATAAGGAGAGAATCTTAAGAGCAGCAAGAGAAAAGGAGACAGTTCTCTACAAAGGAGTTCCCGTAAGACTATTAGCTCATTTCTCAAAAGAAACCTTAGAGGCAAGAAGGGACTGGAAAGAAGTGTCCAAAGTCATGAAAGGCAAGGACCTACATCCAAGATTACTCTATCCAGCAGAGCTACCATTTAGAATGGAAGGGCAGATAAAGTGCTTCCCAGATAAGGTCTAGTTAAAGGAGTTCATCATCATCAAGCCCTTATTACATGAAATGTTAAAGGGACTTGTCTAAGAAAAAATAAGATCAAAATTATGAACAGTAAAATGACAAAAAACTTAAACTATCAATAACTGAACCTTAAAAAAACAAAAACAAAAACAAACTAAGCAAACAACTAGAACAGGAACAGAATCACAGAAATGGAGATCACACAGAGGGTTATCAGAAGGGAGGTAGAGGGGGAAGAATAAGAGAAAAGGTACAGGGAATAAGAAGCATAAATGGTAGGTACAAAATAGGCAGGGGGAGGTTAAGAATAGTATAGGAAATGGAGAAGCCAAAGAACTAATATGTATGACCCATGGACAGGAACTAAAGGGGGAATGCCAGTGGGAGGGGTGGTGCAGGGCAGAGGAGAATAAAGGGGAGATAAAAATGGGACAACTGTAATAACATAATTAATAAAGTATAGTTTTAAAAAACTAAATCTAAAAAAGAAAAACAAACTAAGCAAACAACCAGAACAGGAACAGAATCATAGGTATAGGGGTCATTTGGAGGGTTATCAGCTAGGAAGGGGAAGGGAGAGAAGGGGGAAGGGAAATGGTTCAAGGATCAAGAAGCATAATTGGTAGGGATGAAAATAGACAGGGGAATGTTAAGAATAGTATAAGAAAGGGAGAAGCCAAAGAACTTAGACTTATGACCCATGGACATGAACCAAGGGGGTGCGGAATTGCTGGAAGGAAGCGGGGTACCAGGTGAGGGAGGCAAAGGGAATAAATAATTCGGACTACTGTAACAGCATAATCAATAAAATATATTTAAAAATAAAATGTATTTTTACATTGAAAACCTCAAAGGGAGGTATATTAGAAAAACATATCTAACACTCAGCTGTGTCCTTCATTTTCCTAAATCCCCTCTGGGGTTTCCCATTGCCCTCAGGACACAGTCCTGGCTCACCTGATCCTCAAGCCCTGAACCCTGCTGTCTGCTGCTGACCTACTGACCTCACAGTTTGTGCTCCAGACCCAGTGAGTCTCCAGCCTCAGGTACCTGCAGACAGCCTTTCTCATCCCACTTCCACCTCACTCCTCCCACTGCTGTAGTTCCTAGTCAGTGGTCAGCCAAGGTGGAGCATTCTACCTGCTCTTTAACCCTGGGTCTCTCCCTGCAGGCATTGCCTTCAGCTAGGGCAAGTGCTGAAGAACTAGGAAGAGATTTGCCCTGGACACAGTCTGGGACATAGTACTGGGCAAGGGACTCTGGAAGAGCAGAGCCAGGAGGAGGTGGGCTGCCTGGAGGAGCAGTTAGAGAAGATGCGTGGTGAGAGCCAGGGTCAAGGGTGTGGTGTGTGTGTGTACATGCATGCATGGATCAAGCACAGACTAGTCCGAGCCCAGCACTTCTCAGAACATGACCTTGGGAAGCCCCAGCAGCACAGAGGCAGGGAGGTCGGGGAGGTCAGGAAGGCTTTCTAGAGGAGATTACATCCAGCTTGAGACCTAAGTGATGAACAGGAGCAAACCAGCAAAAGGGGAAGGGAGGACAGTGGACAGTATTTAAGGCCAAGGGAATGGTAGGTGCCAACGCACTTTCTCTCCAGGTCCCCTTTCTCCCCCAAGATATATGGTCTTTTCCCTGCTCTGCACAGAAACCCTCCTGGTCCACACAATCAAGTGTTTGAGGTCCCTGAGAAGCAGAAGGTGTTTGCTGTGTCCTGAATGGCAAGAGAGCTGAGGTCTCTCTGGACGTGATTCACACTGGGACTTCATTGATGGCTTTCTCCTTCGCATGCAGCAAGTGAGACTTGGAGCAAGATCTGATATGGTATCTGTGGGGCCTGAGGATCTTAGAGCATCCTTGGGTGGGATTCAAGAGACTTGGGTCCCAAATTCATTACTCTGCCTTTCAGTTTACTGTGTGACCATGTACAATTTTCTCCACACATCTCGGTCTCAGGTCTTCTATCAAAACATTGTTGTACTAATAGGGGAGTCTTTGGTCTAGGTCTGGAACTATAAATATACTTCATCTCACACCTCAGCTTTCTCCATTTGATAAGGGGGTCTCAGAGGGATTCTGAGATTTAGTGCCAAAGAGTTCTGGGATTGATTGGTGATGGCTGCCATGGGCAAAGACTAAGAGGGTGGAAGCGGAATAAGAAGTGGCACATGCCTCCCAACCCTGGTCTGGATAGATGGTCTCTCTTGGCCCTTCTCTCTTTCAGACATTCCTTATTTCTGAATGTAGGAACAAGGGAATCCCCACGCAGAATTCAGCAAAAAGAATTTGATCAATTCTGTTCTCAACATCTTTTCTGCCAGGATGGAGACAACCAGCACCTCCCCCAGGTATGGACTCCTGATCCTCCTGAAGTAGCCACAGGTTACAGGTCAGGACCAGCCCTTTCTCTTCTCAACCTGATGTTGCAAAGCTGGATACAAGGACCAAGAACTCAAAACACATTGCTAGTGGGAGAGGGTGAAGGGGTGGCTGCTGTTAATGCAATTCCGAGCTTAAAGTATGAGAAGTTGAAGGTGGTGGTAGGTGCCCAAGATAGTAAGCCTTCTCATGGTCAGAACTATCTTTTTCCTACTCTTTTGTGAATGGACCAGAATTCATACAGCAAGAAACTGACCAAGTGGTGGGGTCAGAGAAATGGCCCTGCATGGGGGACAGGGCCTGGGTGTGATACATGGATGCTGTCCTCCATGAGACCCTGAGATCAGAGGCAGATCCAGAAAGAAAAGAAAGAGAGAAAAGAAAGAAAGAAGAAAGAAAGAAAGAAAGAAAGAAAGAAAGAAAGAAAGAAAGAAAGAAAGAAAGAAAGAAGGAAGGAAGGAAGGAAAGAGAGAGAGAGAGAGAGAGAGAAGGAAGGAAGGAAGAAAGGAAGGAAGGAAGGAAGGAAGGAAGGAAGGAAGGAAGGAAGGAAGGAAGGAAGGAAGAAAAGCAGTCTTCTACCATAGAGGTTCACACCACAAACTCAGGAAACCAATACAGATCAATTTAAGAAGCAGAAGCAGGATAGGGAATATGATGGAGTGAGTGGAAGTCACACTGACCTCCTCCCAGGACCAAACTGGAGTTGCAACTAAATTGTGGAGAAATCACCTGGAAAACAATGGGATGATAATGAGAGAGGAGCCTTGAAGCCTCAGACAGACAGTGGAATTGGCTTTTGCACATCCTAACGGGTGAGAAGTGTGGTGGAGGCTCGAGAGGGTAGGCTGGATGCCCACAGGCGCCAGCACCAGAAGAATATTGAAATGGCCAGTTGGATCCCCCCAAGAAGAACAGGGTCTGAGTCATAAGTGGGGACCTCTAGACTACAACATCTGAACCCAAAAGAACCCACAAACAAAAGACAACTGCGAAAAGCATAGTGGTGCTCTCTGCCAGAGACAGGCAGCTGGAGGCACAAAGAGATGTTTAAAGGGCCAATGCAAAGATATGCAGTGGCAGGCCCCTTCCTTGGCCCCTGGGCAGAGGTGGGAGCAGAGTGGGCTGGAGCCTGAGGAAAGATTGGTGAGGAAAGCTTTGGGGAGAGAACTGAGACAGTGGCCAGAGGGGCCCTGGTGATGACTCACCTCCCACTCTGCAGCTTCCATCTCACTCAGGCTTAAGGGGAACAATAGCCCTGCACTCAGAACACTCTGTCCAGGATTTGCACTCAGGCCTGGTTGCTGAGTGAAGAGTGGCCAACAGAGATAGTAGATCTCTGGCTAAAGGGGACACAGAGCTTCCTAGAGACTCTTGATGAGAGATTGGAGACAGAGGTGTTGGGGAGAGGACTGAGGGAGTAGCCAGGGGGTTCCTGGGACTGACTCCTTCCCCATTCTGCAGTCTCCATTTTGCTCAGGCAGACCACTCCCCTGACTGACAGCAGCCTGTAAGGACACAATAGTCCCACCCTCAGGAGGCACTGCCCTGCCCTGTGGTGTCTAAACCTAACAGCTGAGGGCAGAGTGACTAGATTAACAATTGTAGGAGAAGGACACAGACAGTAGATTCCTGGAAGTCTCAAACAGGTGGCCTAAGGTCATAGTCAACAACTGACATCATCAGAGGCAGACCTAGAAAGAAGAGGAAAAAAAAGACCTACCTACTACCATAGAAGTTCAATCCACAAAGTCAGGAAATCAAGAGAGATCAATTTAAGAAGCAGAAGGAAAAAAGAAGAAGAGTCTCGCAAATAATGGGAAGGAAAAGAAATACTCCCCAACTGAGAGGAAAGGAGGAATCCTCACAAAGAGAAGTAAATGAAACAGAGGCAAGTAAACTATCAGATACTGAATTCAAAACAATGGTTCTAAGGAAGCTCAATGAGCTCAGTGAGCTCAGAGAAAACTATGAAAAACTACAGGGAAACTACGAGGAACTTACTGCAAACTATATCAACATGAAAAAGGACATATAAACTATGAATAAGAGACAAGAGGAAATGAAGAATACAATTTCTGAACTGAAGAACACAGTAGAAGGAATCAAAAGCAGGCTAGATGAAGCAGAGGACCAAATCAGCGAACTGGATGACAAGGTAGAAAAAAACTCCCAGAAAGAGCAAGAAATGGAAAAAAGACTCAAAAATAATAAAGAGGCATTTAGAAAAATGCAGGATGACTGTAATAATATCCATATAATAGGGCTACCAGAAGGAGGAGAAGAGGAGCAAGGGATAGAGAATCTGTTTGAAAAAGTAATGATGGAAAACTTCCATAATTGGAGGAGAGAAAAAGTCACACAAGTCCAGGAAGCACAGAGGGTCCCTTTCAAGAGGAACCCAATGAAGCCCAGTCCAAGACACATCATCATTATAATGACAAATATCAAAGACAAATGGAGAATCCTAAAGCAAACAAGGGAGAAACAGGAAGTAACATATAAGGGAGCCCCGATACGGCTAGCAGCTGACTTCTCAACAGCAACACTACAAGCCAGGAGGAAATTGCAAGAAATATTTCAAGTCATGAAAAGTAAGGGCCTGCAGCCAAGACTGCTCTACCCAGCAAGGCTCTCAGTTAAAATAGAAGGTGAAGCAAGGAGTTCCCCAGACAAAAGAAGACTAAAAGAATACACCTCCACCAAACCAGCACTGCAAGACATGGTAAAAGGATTGCCTTAAGAAGATGAAGAAAAAGAGTGAGAAAGAGGGGATCACAGGTACAAAAGGGGAAAAATGAATAAGTACCTGTCAATAATAACTCTAAATGTAAATAGACTAAATGCCCCAATCAAAAGACACAGGATAGCTGAATGGATAAGAAAACATGACCCACACATATGCTGCCTACAAGAGACTCAAAGGACTTACACCAACTGAAAGTGACAAGTTGGAAAGTAAAGGAATGGAAAAAAAATACTCCAAGCAAATGGACAGGAAAAAAAAGCAGGGTTAACAATACTTATATCAGACAAATTAGATTTCAAGACAAAAGCCATAAAAAGAGACCCAGAGGGACAGTTTACAATACTCAAATGAAGAAGACATAAACATTGTAAATGTATATGCACCCAACATAGGAGCACCCAAATATATGAGGAAAGTCTTGGAGGACTTCAAGAAAGATATAGACAGCAACACACTGATAGTAGGGGATTTTAACACCCCACTGTCAAAAATGGATAGATCTTCCAAACAAAACATCAACAATGAAATTATGGGACTGAATGATGCATTAGATCAAATGGACTTAACTGACATATATAGCTCCTTTCATCCCAAAGAAGCAAAATACACATTCTTTTCAAATGCACATGGATCTTTTTCAAAAATAGACCACATGATAGGACACAAAACAAGCCAAACACATTCAGGAACATTGAAACCATTACAAGAATTTTGTCAGACCAAAGGGCTTGAATCTGGAAACCAACCTCAAGGAAAAACTTCAACAACTTTCAAACCCATGGAGACTGAATAGCACACTATTAAACAATGAATGGGTCAATAATGAGATAAGAGAAGAAATCAAAAAGTTTCTGGGAACAAATGAAAATGGACACACAACAGTCCAAAACCTATGGGACACTGCAAAGGCAGTCCTGAGAGGGAAGTTCATAGCAACACAGACCTACCTAAAAAAGATAGAAACATTTCAAATAAATGACATAACCCTACAACTTCAAGAACTGGAGACACAACAACAAATAAATCCCAGAGCAAGTAGAATGAAGGAAATATACAAGATATGAGCAGAATTGAATGACATAGAGACTAAAAGAACAATACAAAGGATCAACAAATCCAGGAGCTGCTTCATTGAAAAGATAAACCAAATCGACAAGTCTTTAGGCAGACTAATCAAGAAAAAAAAGAGAGAGGACCCAAATAAATAATATCAGAAATGAAAGAGGAGAAAGAACAACTGATACCACAGAAATAAAAAGAATGTAAGAAAATACTATGAGCAATTATATGCCAAGAAATTTGAAAACCTTGATGAAATGGGCAAATTTATAGAAAAGTATAATCTTCTGACACTGAATGAAGAGGAAGCAGAAAGCCTGAACAGACCAATAACAGCTGGGGAAATTGAAGCAGTAATCAAAAAACTCCCAGCACACAAAAGCCCTGAACTGGGCAATCTCACCAGAGAATTTTACAAAACCTTTAAAGAAGAGCTAACTTCTGTCCTTCTCAGACTATTCTAAAAAGTCCAAGAAGAAGGAAGGCTCCCAAACTCTTTATATGAGGCTAGCATCATCCTAATCCCAAAACCAGATAAAGAAACTACAAAGAACACTACAGGCCAATATTGCTGATGAACATAGATGTCAAAATCCTCAACAAAATATTGGCAAACCACATCCAGCAATACAATAAAAAGATCATCCATCATGATCAAGTGGGATGCAAGGATGGTTCAATATACATAAATCAATAAATGTAATACATCACATAAACAAAAGGTAAGACAAAAACCACATGATCATCTCAATAGATGTGGAAAAAGCATTCGATAAGGTGCAGCGCCCATTTATGATAAAAACACTCAGCAAAGTGGGAATAAAGGGAGCATACCTCAACATAATAAAGGCCATATGTGAAAAACCTACAGCCAACATCATATTCAATGGACAAAAACTAAAAACTTTCCCACTAAGACTAGGGACACGACAAGGATGTCTGCTTTCACTTCTATTCAACATAGTATTGGAATTCCTGGCCACAGTGGTCATTCAAGAAAAAGAAATAAAAGGCATCCAAATTGGAAAAGAGGAAGTAAAACTGTCATTGTTTGCAGATGACATGATAGTGTACATAGAAAACCCTATCAACTCCACCAAAAAAAATACTTGACCTAATAAGTGAATTTGGCAAAACAGCAGGATACAAAGTCAAT